TAGTAGACTAACGTATGTCGTTGTGTGTATCACCCACTAAAGAGTTTTCATTATCTGTCATCTTGACAAATGAATAAATGAATTAATCAAAGATATGCAAAATATTTGTCAAAGCACTCGAGTTTTTTTTTTATGAATACACGTTATTATTAAACAGTAGTAAACTCTATTTTAGTAAACTTACTGTTCCACAAATACATAATAATATTACAAATTTTGTTAAATTTAGGGTCGGTTTACAAAACATCTTAACAAAAAAAAAAATTAATTCACTATTAATTTGATGTTTGGCACTGTAAAGTAAATGACTATTTAATTCAAATTATATCTTTCCAGTAATTCTGAATCAAAATTTAATATGCTTAAAGTAAATCGATCGGAAGTATTTAAATCATTTAACTTTGAAAAATTTGAATAATTAAAATACGGTCGTTTATTAATAACAAAATTGAAGCACCAGATATTGAAACGAGTAATTTAAAATAAAATGTAAACGAATAAATAAAATGAATAAAAACCGCTTACAAATAACAAGTGCAATACGCTTACACTTCCGCACCTTAACACGTGTCTATCATTAGCAAAGTTCAAAACATTTTTTTTCTTAAATGTCACTTGAATTATTTTTCAAAATAAAAACATATAAATTTAAATTTTGCGAACATAAAATAACTTTATTTACTCTGTCAGAATATTCAAAAATAACCAAAAATTTAAAGAAAATATACCGTCAACATGGATCGAACTGTGCCAAACGACAGCAATTTCGGTCAACTGTGTCGAAATAATGTAAATTAAGGTTGTCTATTCTATAAAAGCTCTGGTTTTCCTGCAAGATAAAGTACAAAACAATAGTGTCGCTAACCCAATCCTGCCCGGATTKGCGAATTTGTCCGGTTTAAACAGAATGAGCTTTAAAATGTCTGTAGTACGAGTTTTAGATGAGTAAAATTAGAATTAATTAACGGATAAAAWTAATTTTCAATAAGTACGAGTAAAGTGACARGYGTAAACAAAACGACAATCAAATGTGCGGGGTACTTTACGGAAAACAGGTTGTGTGCCGACATGTCACTGTTTTAAATAACCCTGATGTTAGTTTTTTTTTATTGCGTTAGGTCGTCCGGATTAACCGGAAGTCCGGTATTAGGTTGTACTCCCTGTTGTGTAAATCTCACACATGTTCTTACAACCGTAGCATTATCTTGGCGTATGATTCATATTTCATAACATCACAATTCATTTCCACGTGTGACACATGACACCTACAGATAGATGTTTTGCAACAAACCTAGAACGTAGAAATTAGGCCACCCCTAGTAGACACGCTGACCCAAGCCAAAACAGCCCGCAATCGATAAGACATTCAAGCACAACGGCACGCCAAAAGGGTTACTATAATACTCCACTACTGTTTTTTTAACAGGCAGGTGGTTGTACCACGACAACCATGAACTGTCGAAAAAAGTAAGGTAAAGTCAACCAGATGGGTTCAAGGCTTGAGCAAGGAAACAGAGACTTGTTTCTCAAAATAATTGATGTATTTTTATAATATGCAGCAAAATCCACGACCTTGGCGTAACTTAGCGAAAATAACTAATTGCACTGTTATTATCCGACAATTTTTCAATTTCAATAAGGCAATAATGACAGTAATTACAATTGACTGGACCATTTCAATAAAACTTTCTTTTATAATGTTTTCAACAACGTTAAAAAACAGAACCTGAACACTTTTCACTTTCTGAGCAAGCTTTCATTCTTTCTTTACATGTCCGCGTTGAGTTATTTCAGTAAACAGAGCATTTTACCTGTTTCTGTTTACAAACAATCTCGCATGCGACACTGCACGTACAATTCAATTTTTAATTCAACTTTTAATTAATAAAAAACACCGACACTATAAACCACACAAACCACCACGTGTCAACCTCGTCGACCGAAACTTTCAACAATGGAAGAGCGCTTTTCAGGGGAAGAAATCGTTTCAAGAATAACACATGCAACACATTCGACGCTGAAGTTTCAACTGCTGCAGAGTGCTGATATCCGGAGCGTTGGAGGTTGGAGCTTGGAAGTGTGCGCAGCGTTCCCTCTCGGTTGAGGAGTTAAATGCGAGGTCACGCTCAAAAGTACCCCTGATTTATATAACAGCAAATTACAAATTGGGAGCTATTCTTCTCGATCGCGAGCTTTCAAACCGAAATTTGTCTCCTGAGGATTCATGGAAGTTGTCTAGCGGTTAATGAGAAAAAAAGTGAAATTCCGGAGCTAATCCTCCCATGTGGTGACTATAATTCAATTTAACGGAGTTGATTGGATTTGCGGGAGTGGTTAAGACAGTTTCTTGTGTAGAGAAGAAATTATACCAACRATATTTTCCTCGTTAATTATTATTCATTGAAGAATCAGAGATAATTGAAGAAGACGTTGATTAGATCACGTAGACATGCGTAAATATGGACTTGTTTTGTTTTTTTTTATGGAAATAATGAACGCTAACACTGTGCTTGTAAGAAGAAAGCTCAAACAGATTCTAATTAATCTAATGGATCAATAATAAATTTACCAAAACACGTTTCAAAAATTAAAACCCTCAACATACAAATAAATCATTATCACTGTTATCAAAATTTTAACGCGAACGAAAAAACAAAAAACTTGTCCTCATTAAGTCGTAAAAATTGTACAATCGGTAAGACGCCACCGTAATCATCAAGGCTGCTTAATTTGAAACAAACATTTTAAACAACAAGCGGTAGGACAACAAAATATCTAAAAAAACAAATAAAAAAATTTCAAACAATAGAATTCATCAGTAACGCATTATTATAACCATAAACACAAATCACTGCTTAAACCAACATTTACTTTTATTCTCTTTTGTTAACTATTGTTTGTAAATCTATTCTTGATTGTTTTTGAGCTTTGTTTTAAATATTTGCATTCGATTCTCTAATATTCTACATGAAATCCTCTCATCAATATCAAAAATGGAAGCACTGAATTAAATTGATCTTCCATTCATATTCATTCATGTTCGACTTTTATAGATAACTAGACCTACTTTTCTCGTAGATACAATTTACTGAAGTTTATCAAATTCACAAATGTTATTTCAGCATCGACAGGAATCGTTATAAAGAAGAAATTTACAATGCCATGACTTCATACATGAGATCAATTCAGAAGCAGTTGGAAAATCAAAATTCGTTTTCTTTTTTTAGGCAATTCTATCAGTTTGTCTCATTCATAAAAAAAATCTTTTAAAAAATGAAATTTAATTTGCATTTACAATACGAAATAAAAACTTTTCCATTTGAAACACCACTTTTAAGCCAAAAATATTTTTTTTATGTAATTTTAGTTTTTTATTCCTACATAATGGAATTTTCTGATTGCTTGTTTTAAATCTTAAAATAGTCTCTAAAAATAAAATAGTGCGCTGTTATATGGAATGAAATGAACTCAAGATTAGATGAAAATATTATACTTCTTGGGGTTAAAAAAAGTCATTAAAAATTAAAATCAGTTTTTGTTCATAATTAACTCTTTCAATACAAAAAAAAAATAATAAAGCACGCCCATCTTTTAACAACACCAATTTTTTTAATGTCAAAGATGTAACATTATTGCTAATTAATTCCTTTCTTTATTTTACAGATGAGAAACAATTCAAAGAAAATAACTCCCACGCAATGCTTTATTTTCCAAACGTCCAAAGTTTGTTTGAAAATTCGACCCCACATCCATATCATGTATACATGACATAAATATCACTCATTTACCAATTTCCAAAACATTAAACTTCCTCTCCGTACATAAATTAAGTATTCGTCTATCGGTATCACAACTATTACTTGACAAAAAATTCTCCTATTTTGTTAAATTTTCCTCTGAAAAAAATACACAAACCACGCCTTAAATAAACAATGTAAACACACGAACATGTGTATGTATTTATTGCGACCGGAGTTGAACCGGAAACAGTGAATTACTGGACTATCACTGCGCAAACTCAAGAAGGCTCGCCGTCGTTCAGATAGTGATAAAACCATAACTCCGTAGTTGTAATACGGAAAAAAATGCATGACCCAAAAACGAGAAATCCTGAAAAGGTATCAAGCCTGAAAAATTGCTCACACGTCCATTTTTGCGAATAATTGAATCAGAACATAAATCATGTTTAACGACGAAGCGATTCAGATTGTATCATTCATGCGATCTATGATTAATTTCGATGACCTACCTGAAGGCCTTTGTTTGACGAGTAATGACATTAATAAAGGTGATTTTAGTWAAATTCAATGAGCTGATTATCGCTAGATGTCATAACAATAACTTCATTTGATTAAAAATTACGGTAGTGTTTGTTTGAGTGTTTACCGCTTTCGACCTTAACGTAGGATTGATGGCCGTCACAATTAAAAGACATGAATATTATGCAATAACTAGAAAACATTGTCATGTAAATCTCCTCAGATAACATTGAAACAATGTAACTGATGTGTATACCCATTCAAAAGATTCAGATTGATAAATAATTAATCGATTAGCAGAAACTCAATACATTAGCACATTTTCACAACAAAGTCAATAGAATTGAAATAAATAATCGAAAAGTTATTTAAGTATGCATAAAGCGCCAAGAAACAACACGATTTTGTGCCAAATTTTTTCTCAGTGGAAACAACGCACTTTTGGCAACAACAAACTATGTAATTAAAAACAACAAAACGTTCAGTTACTTTTACATTAAACAATTTTTTCGCCGACTCTTTAAAATTGAAATCTGTACTAAAAGTATTGATTATCTTCACCTTTTCACCATGCGGTAAAAAAGTATCACGATTCATGTGAGAAAATATCCCAAAGCGCCATCTGCCGGTATCATTCTAATGGCGTTACAGCGATCTATTATTTCGAAATGTTTGTCATAACTTCCACTAATGCAATTTTTTTTTCGACTTTTGGACACCAAACATTGATTTGTTACTTACCAGATAGTTGTTGGGCCGCTTTCTGTAACAAAAAACTCATTAATAGTAATTTTCGTATGCAAGTTTAACTGCATAGCGTGTAACAACCAGGTCAAATAATGCATTTTTTTCATACACCATTATAATTTTCTAGTTGGCTTTATTGAAATTGACCTTGTCTCTTAGAAAATAACTATTTCATGTACATTTAGACATCGGCCAGTAAACAGGCTAAATATAGAGGAGCTATATGGTTAAAATAACTTAATATAAAACTTTTCAGTCATAAAATTTTAAAAAAGTTTTTAAATGCAAATCTAATGGCAAAATCGCAATAGCAAACGATTTCTTCCATTAATAATAGTAATTATGTTTTTTTTTTTTAAATTCACATTAGGCTGAACCACGAACAATAAAAATAATTCAAGTTTTCCATTTACATAATTGGTTGAATTTTTTGCCAACCTACTCGGTAAAAATCATGAATTCTTTCTTAACGCATTTGAATATTTCACAACGAAACCCTGGTCAAGCGAACGCGGTCATTTAGGCGTGATATATCTCTTGTGAGACAATAGAAAAACCCACACGCATTCTTGCACCTAGAAGTTACAAAATATTCATACATTAATCAGAGTCAGTCTTCTAATATCAGCAGCATCCAAACCCCTCGCATCCAAAGAATGACTTCGAGGTTTAACAAACGGCAAATCGTCCTTCTTGTTACTTTTCATCCATCGAAAATACGAAGCCATTTTTCGCACACACGCACTACTTCGTTACATTTTTGCGTACACTAAGTGACTAAAAATCATCAAGAAGCACCTGATACATCAAACGATTGGGRAATTTTCCTTGACGCTGAGAAAATAAACACATAAAAATTCATCGATTTCTAAATCTCAATGAAGAAGACCGAACCACAACACCTGAAATGAGCTTTTTACGGTCGGATTGGGAACGGGTAAATATCTGCGAGAGCGTAATGATTTAAGTGTACCGCTTGTAATTTTTAGTGTATACAACCACAAATAATCCTAGATTGTGCAAGGTGATTTATTGGGTCGATTACACATGACATTTCTAAGTAACATAACACCTGCTCAGCCAACAAACAATCGATCCGATAGATCTCACAAAAATCGGGATTTTTAATGACAACTTTGGAAAAAAATTACTATGTGATTATTTTAATCTCACGCTTCATTTCTTGGATTAAAATCGTTTTTATTACAATCCCTACAAAGGCTGCATTTGTTAATCTTATCTACATAATTCTTATACAAATAAGAGTCATTTAAACAAAAGTTTTATTTTTTTGATAACAGAAAATAACAATTACATCGAAAAAACAATAAAAAAATATATATTACGTGTGACTCAACAAGTCAAGTTTAAAAAAAATACAAAACACTAAGGTGTTATTAAGCTTTCTACGATTTTAACACCATGGTGCTTATATGACAAAACTGCCAACTGCTTCAGTGTTAATGAATCTTGTAAATTTTGACCACTTACTTTATCAGCTTTGTAACAAGAGAATAAAGTAAAGCCGCTTATGCAAGAGTGGTTGAAACCAATCAATAGTTCCGATTGTCGTTAAAATCGAAATTGGAAAAAGTAGGAACCGGTGTCCACGCAGTAATAAACAGGATACTTCTATTCTAARTAAACAATTTAACCGTTCCCAAACAATTGGCTCTAATCAAGAATCCAATTAAAAGCGTACTAACAACACATACAACTGATCTCGTGGCCGGAACAGATGCACCAAAAGATACATTTTGCACGTTACTGACGACTTTTTCGATTTCCGCGCTTGCCGCAACCGGTCGCGAGATAAAACTAACATGARACAATCATACAATCCATCTCCCTACTTCACTTGTGTAAGGATTTGCGTAACGAGACTCGACTGATCAAAATCAAAATGGTCCAACTTTCGAAAAAAAACGCCTTGACTTAAAAAATAACCGAAATGTACCTGACAGGGTTTCGCATTTTTCCAAATAATAAATTTATCGTGTGAGGTGACAGCTTGACACGTGTTGAAGCCGAGAAAAATATTTGCGATAGGTTTAAATACTTTGCAAATATGAATATTTTCACACGTTACGTAACGCATCAATGACATTAGACATCACTTTTGGTACATAAAAGTTTAAATTTTATAGTTAGCGATATGATGTTTAGTATGTTCACGTGCCGTTTTTAACAGTTTACCTTAGTAATCATAGAATTCCAACAAAATATCTGATTACATACATTGTTTTGTAGCTAGTTTTTAGTTGTAATTATGAAAATTGTAGAACTCAGAAGACAGCACGAATTATTACTCTTCAAGTTTTTACAGAATGGCAAACTTAACAATGACGCACTTAACAAACATAATAAAAACACAACTTCAAAGTTCATGAACTTGATGTCCTTATCATTATTAAAACTTATTTACGAACAATTAATTTTGAAAAAATCTAGATATACAACCGGGCAAAATTAACCGTAAAAATAAATAGTTAAATAACATTATCAAATGACAAGCGTAAAATCGTCCAGTAGAAATAAAAATTATGCTAATATCAAAAACACAAGGTTCGTTTAGTATTTACTTTTTGTTTACTTTTAATGCTAATATTAGAGTTGTTAATTAGTAGCAGTTGTAATTTCTGGTTTTATTGGACCAAATTTTTTTTTATGTATTGTGCATTCCAAAAAAACGAATAAACCATTAACCGAAACCGTGAAATAGTAAACGCAATAAAGCGGACAATTTTTCTCATTTCACTAGGAATTCGGAGAAATCAATACAATCACATAAAAAAAAATTAACAGCACATTTTTCATTCAATGTCACCAAAGCAAAGACAAAATTTCTCTTTATTTCAGAAGTTAACATGAAATAATTCAGATTGTATCTGAAATTTTCCACTTTGATTAAAACTCTCTTGTTCTTACATAATTAATAAACCTATTTTGTTATCTTATCACTTTTGTTTACTTTAACAATAACAAATTTACCCCAAAGCAATTTTTTTACAAAAAAAAACAATCAAAACAAAGTTACCAAATATAACATAAATAAACAATTAGCAAAACATAAAACATTATTGTAAAAAAAAACAAAAAAAATTCAACAGTTCTTTTACAATTAAAAAGACAAAAATTCCAGGCAACAACATCTTAAGTTAATAACATCAGAAAATAAAAATATGATAAAAGAAAATGACGCAGCTCATGCGGTACCCAAAAACATTTCGAATTACTTATATCAGACAGATATTAATAAAAACCGTACAATACTTTTTAATTTTCTTTCTAAAGCTTTAAAACAAAATCTTCATTATAATCCTCTTCTTCTTTCTTTAATATTTGAAAATATTAAAACAAATTTTTATTTGATTTGAACGAAACCGTGGATAGAACGAATTTTTATTCATCAAAATATGAAGAGTCAACACAACAAACAATGCAAACTAGAAAATTAAAACGATGTTCCTGTTTGTTTTTACCACACTCAACGTCAAATTATAAAAAAACCGGAAAAACCGAGTGTCATCACCGGACTTTACCCACCTTTCGTCTATCCTCTGGTGGTACACTTGCATGCGATCTATTCCTGAAGATATCCATCACTTTGGTCATAGGACTCCTATTGGAAGAAGCTGCGGTAACGGTATGGTAATATTGAGTGTGTGATCCATCATCACGAACTGGATGGGCAGACCCATCCCGTGGTGCTTTCGGACGTGCATGCATCAAACCAGTATGCTAAAATGACAATCCAAATAATTAATTTCAAAGTAAAAAWTCGAATACAATTACGATTATCAACATATCTGCATAGCATCAAATGTTATTTAATAATGAAAATGTGTATTAATGGCTGCATAACTCTGAAWCAGCAATATTAATCTTTCAATTTTATTGTCACCACTTTAAACACGGCAGATTGCGAGTTAGGAAATAATATAATGAGGTTAATGCTAAAAATATAGTTCCTTTAACCTTGCTACTTCAAACGACAGAGGTGTACTATTGGTTCATTTTAATTTATTATCTTTGTTTCACCTAAAAATACACATATTGTTTTAAAAATAAAATGGGATGCTATTCTTCTAAAACAATTAGAAAAATGAGTGGTTTAATTCATTTTATTAGTTTGTTTTGAAACAGCTATTCATCTTGCTTGCCTGTTTACCAATTCATTTAAGTATGTTCTAAGAAAAAACTAAGTGTTCGTCTCAATCAAGGTACAAACATACAATAATATWACTTTTATTGAATTTTTAAATGGTAAATTTACCCACCAACATGGCACTCTTCATCGACGCCATAAAAGCGCTGCCRTTCTTRTTGCTGGCGTCCGAGTTGGACCTCGTCCTGAAAGCGTCCAACATTCCCGCTTTTTTGGGACTTTGCACATCCTCCGACTTCCTTCTTTCAGCCGAATTCGATCTGGACGTAGACCCGCTTCGAGTTCCCGAATGTTTGTCCTTCTTCTTCTCCTTCTTGCCCTCACTTTTGTGTTCTTTGGCTTGCTTACTCTTTCCTTCTTTCGATTTGGGCTTGGCGATGTCTTTGCTCTTCTGTTTGCTGTCGGATTTAGAGCCCCACGTTCCAGATCGAGGCCGGGGCATCGACTGGGTGTCGACATCGTCGCTGGTGATGGTCGGGAGAGGTTGGGAGCCGAGTTCCTGTAACGGAAAATCTGATMAGATTCAAACGAGATAAAAATTTACAGTTACCATCAAGTACAAGGTTAAAGACAGGGCGAGCARCGGTGGTGCTAAAATTTGAAAATTTCATTTGAACATTGCYATCACGAGGAGATCGATTACTGTGGAATGAGATTTTATTACTCAACCCATTTTGAACACCAACAAATCAATTAAGATGTGACGCGCCCAATTTTTAATCGGAAGCTGAATGAGCAATGTCTGAGATTTAGGCAACGACTAWCAAATACATCCTAGAGTTTCAGCTACATTAAAAAAATTACCTTCAATGATGGTAGTGACATTATCGAAGTGTAGCTCAGAATTGTCAAAATTTATATTCCAATTTTTAGAAAAATTAAAAATTCATTGCGTCATAAAAAATCCGAACTGATTTATATTATTTCAATAATAAAAAAGTCTCCATAATTTTCAGTGACCCCATAAACTTTACGGCTCATAAATAGCGAAAGCTAAACAGAACTTAATACTAGCTAGGCAACACACTTTACATATGTGCTACAAAAATGTATATCAAAATTATTTTTTTTCTGGTGGGAGACATCATTTCAGAAATGAGGGTACAAAATTGTTTCGAAAACAATATAAAATTCACGAATAAATCAGTAATAGYCAAATTTGTAGTGTAGTTATCTTTTGTTGGAACTCAATAAGTCGCTATAATAGATAATAACTAAAAAATCAAAATAAATAGTAACGGGAATTATGGGAAACTCAGATGATTTTCGGAGCCTGAATTATGAATTTTCGATGTATTTACTAAAGGATTAACTAAAAACAGAATGAAATAATGTTTGCCTCATTTCGGTCTGCCTTCAGAAAAAAAGTTTACATTTGGAATCACTCGAATTCTTTTTCAGAATATTTTTCATAAAACATTTATTGCTAATGATTCCTTGTGTGATAAAAGTACGTTTTAATTGTTATAGAAAAATTCAAAATATATTTAGTTCGAAGTCAATATGAATATTACGAATTGCATTCAAACAATATACAACKAATTTTAATAAATTTAATAAAATGGAATTTTAAAAAAACTTTTCCTTAGGGATTAAAATGAGTACATGATGAATCAAGAAAATTCCTGTAAACATAATAAATTTTTAAGCGCTTAAACACCAAGTCACACCGACCTTTCTTCTGGAAAAAGCCAAACTTTCCTCGACACAATTGTCCAGATTTTTCAAGAAAATCTCGCGAAACATTTTYCACACACTCACTTKAACAATAACGTCGTTGAATTGAATTTCTCCGTTCGAGTCATTCCATAAATGTTTTTAAATTTAGCATAAACAAGCAGATTTTATTGTTGGCGACTTGAAACGTTTCTATATTTATCTGGAAACGTGCAGTTTTCAATACTGGACAACCACCGACGGYAGAGCACTGGAAGAGGAGGAATCGCGTACGCATAGTGACGTTCGGCATCCTGGCGCCGATAAGACGACAGTTTGTTGCACAAGCAAGGGTGGAAATCCAACTCTTCTGCGCTATCTACTAGTCAATGAAAAGCTGATGACGACACGGGAAATGATCGCGTCAAAAATTTGATGAGGTAAGACAACATGAAAGTAGTAAACATTTACCATAATTAAAACGACTTTTTGGTAACAATTCAACGATCGATTTTAAAATAAACAGTGCATTGTTGTCAATACTTGACCCAGTTTCAGCTGACCTGCTCAACCGTGTAAATAATCACAAATGTATGGAGAGAACTGTCCCAGGTGTATTTTACATTATTTTAATGAAAGTAAAAACGTAGGTAGGTGGTACCCTTATCTAATTACAAAAGACCTCGACTACAACGATTCCATGTAATTTTCAATTATTAGGAATGCGATAACAATAATGCGACTTCAAAAGCCGACAGCTCTTTGTGTTCGTTTCAAAGACATGCTTTCCAGTCAACGTGTTGCTTCTATTGTTTATACCGGTGAAATCCTGATACAATTTGGGGTTTAATTAGCAACTTGGACCATCCCAATATCGATTACTTTCTTATTTAAAATATGAACGGAAAATCCATTTGTTTTTCGTGAAATGTCTAGCAGCAATTATGAAAATTATAGACCCTATACAACATCAAAGAATTCTTAACAACCGCAAGTCATGTAACTTTCAATCCGAAATTATGGATTTAGAAAAATAATGATATCACAATCTGCCATTCATTACCGTTTTTTTTAATTTTTACGATATTTTGACAAAATTGATGTATAAGATAATAAATCTCAGTCCCAAATTCTACTTTACGATAAGATGACACTTTTGATTATTAATAGACCCTAAAAATACAACAATGCCGTAAGTATTTAATTGTTCTCCATTGATAATTGCACAATCAATTACCTGACGAAATTTAAAACAACTTATTAGAAGCACCCAAAACTTTTTCACATTAATCTTCACCACCATTTCTAAACTAATTAAATTCAATTTCGACTCTCTTGATTACCTAATCAAATTTAAATGATCATTGATCAGATCCCCTGACCAATTCCAAAACGATAAAACAGGTCATCGAACTTTCCGCCATATGTTTACTATTTACTTTTAATAATTTTCACACTGTTTTCTTGTAATGCGTTTCGGTATTGACAATTTGTCACGGAATGTAAACACGAAACATTCACAAGTTGGATTAATCAAAGTCCATCAACGTTGTAAGTGTCGATTTTTAATTGATTGAGATAAACGCTTGTATTTTTTTAAGTGTAAAAATAAATAAAATATAGAAACACTTAATATAAACAAACCATTTTTCAGAAGAGACCAAAATTTTCCAAAACAAATAAGCCACCAAGTGGAATTTGGTTTAATTAATTTTAGCTTAAAAAAATCGAAAAATGACTACTTTCTGCTAGAAATTGTTGCAGATATTGTGTACATGGTTGCAAATTAACCAGAACTACAAACAAAAGGTTCTTTTGTCGTCACTCTAACAAAAACTTTTTTTTCTGTCTGAAGCCAAAACAAATTCAAAAGCAAATACATCATCACTGTAAAGATTGAAATTTGTCTACATACATTTGTCATGCTTTGCGAAATATATAAATAGAAAACAAATTGAAAAATAAAAGTATCTACATAATATGAAAGTATGGATGTACGTCCTTACCTACTTCGGAAAATTTTCAACCTCTCGAGGAAAAAAAAGTGGGAAAAAATAAGTAGCCTCGAGAATAATTTTTCTATTAAGAAATCTGTTTGAAATTATTTTATCTGGTGTTTAAGTGTGAACACCACCATCAGCCCATAAACGATAAAGCAAAATAATAGGTACCATGAGATAAAAAGAGAAATGATTTCCTGTTTTAACTGTATCCAACTGTAATGCTATGCTTTGTGGATACATGGTCAAAAGTAATAATTTTACAACAAATTTTATTCTGACAGTCCAATAGTTCAATAAATAGGTATGTATGTACAACAACCGGTTCTTATAATGCAAATGCTTTTATTACGTCAGGAGATCACAAGTATACCCACGTAGGAACGCAACCTTACTCGTTGGAAAACACCATAACCCAAGACTGTCCAATTCAATAAAATACAACTCTTTTTGAAATATTACAAAAAATAAATTACTTCGTTGTATTTCCTGACAAAGTTAAGTAATTACTATATAATAAAAGAGCAAAAGCTGAATTATTAACATCAAATACTATCAATAGAATCATGTATCGATTCACCTGTCACTTTCACACAACCGCCACGGTCGTTGACGTGAATCGCCAGAAACTTATAGGTAACCGGCAATTTTAATAGCATTCGCAACACTAATTCCATTGACAATTGAGTACGTTCCAACTCACACTCACCTTTTTCAACTCAGTGGGCGATCTTTTCACCCAAATATCCTCCGCACTGCCTGCACAATCGATCGTGGAACTACTCGAGTTCTCACTCTTCATTTCAATAAGCGACGAATCAAAAAATCTAGTATCATAATGTGGCGAAGGTAACGAAGTTCTGAAAATATTGTAAACCGAAGGCCTCTTCGAGTCGTGCGATGGTATCGCGTGCACCGTATTAGCCTGTCTATATTGTTGCCTATTGGCGAAAACTTTCGCAGCTTCCGAGGGCTGCTTAGTCTTTGTAATCACAAACTTATGAGTAGGTCCACTAACTGTATCAATCACAGACGTTTTCGAACCGCTTGACGATTCCGACAGACTTTTGTCACTCCCGGAGATGGTCGACATGTTACTGGAAGGCACTTGCTCTTTCAAGTCTTTTTTCTCCTCGTCCTCGTCCTCCTCGCGACATTGGGACAATCTCCGCGACGAAACGGCCACTCGGGATGGCAAAGTGTTGCTGTGGTTTTGGAAATAGCGTTTYAAGAACATCGAACTGCCGAAATCCCGGTCTTCGCCCGCCAAGGCGGCCATCGAGGACTCGGTGTTGTGGTTGATTGTCGACACGAGTTCGTCGGGCTCGATGTCGCTCTCGTCCGAAAGGGAAATCGTAGATGARGAGCCACTTTTCGAAGGCATTATAGGTAGGGGTTGATGGACCGGCTCCAGAGTCACTTTATCGACTGATTTTGGATGAAGAGACACATCAGAGTCCATCTAGAATTTCACCTCATGCCAAAGCGCGAAATTTTGAGAACTCAACGACAGTTGCTTTCAGAGATGCTATTTAATAATATTGTCACWCTCCTACTCTTCTCTTGAATTAATTCGAATGGAATCATTTAATGAAATTAATTTTGCAACGCTACGAGTGTCTAGTTCAAGGCTTATTTCTTCAACACGCCTTAATGTCATTAATGTATTCTCAGACTTTTACATATTAGTCGTGCGTATAGTCATCAAAACAACAAAAATTACATTTTAATGGATTCATTTTAACACTTACGTCAATTTTTTCAAAAAAAAAAGACACTTTGGAGCTTTTCCAACAAAAGCTTTCACCTACACAGGTGGCAACTAAATGTTACAAYAATTCGYGTCTTGTGCTAAGTATTTCTATATCTTTCTTGTAATTTATACGACTATCATTCTCTAAAATCGTGATTTATGTATCACTGTTATGAATGCTTACGTCCTTGAAAAAGAACTTGGTGCAGAAAACCATAACTGATAAACAAAAATCTCTTTGCAACCTGCAATGGTCTATTATGWGTAAGCAATGAAGCAGCGTGCCAGAAACATGCATAATAAAATTGGTGATTAACAAACTTAGTTAGATGAGATGACCTAAATATTGTTTATATAATTGTTATTTGGAGTATGTAGTTAAATTTATAGCAAACTATACAAATAACGGTGTTGTGTTTATGAACACAAAAGATTTCCTTAATTAAACAGTGAGACAATGCTTGCAAAAACTGTGTAAAAGGGATTAGTTAAGTGTTTATCAACATCTCTAATTGTCTCTAATTAGTGTTAACAGTTTTGAGAAAAAGCGAGAGATTTAGGAAATTAAAACATTCCGGAAAAGCAAAAATTTTCAAATTGCTTGTATGACACTGAACTTTTTATAAAAATACCTACTTTCTTGTTTGCCTTACAGTTATCACTAATTAGATTTAACTTTTAATTAAATAAATCAAATATTTAAGAAAAACTATGAATATGCATGACTTTTCCCAGAATTTGTTATTTTAACAGAATTTAATATCTACAAACAAAAATGGTTCAAAATAGACGTTGACAAGCACAAAACTTGACGAATTTAGAACAACCGGACGAAATAAAATGTCCTCGATATTGATTACATTTCTTAAATGCGTTAATCTTATTATAGTAAGGAATAAAATTGAGGCAAACAATTCTTTGAGCTTCATAGCAATGCAAAATTCTTACCTGTGTATACCTTAAATGCAAAGTAAAACGATTCATTGTGATGATAAAAAACAGTCAACCAAATACAAAATATCCTATTTTATTAATAATATGTATTCATAATAATTTAAATGTAAAGACAAATAGTTCTTGACAATGTGTGCCTTTATGTAAAAAATTTCTTTCAAAACACTTCTGAGCGCATTTTTTAATTTAGCCCTAACTTTCTTGTGCAAGAATGCGCTTTCACAATATCACAATGAAATAAATATAAATAACATCAAATACTTGCTTCAGGTTTCAATCACAAGAGTAACCTGTTGACAACTAAAGCAGTAAACTCGACAAAGCCTACWTGCGATTTTTCAATTTTCGTTGGAAATAAGTCGCGCATTCTTCTCGTCATGATTAAAGGACGAACGTAAATGATTACCGGCCACACCCACGTGTTTTCAATTACTTTATTATTAAAGCGAAGAAGTAATATAGTTTCAAGTAATTCCAAGAACGTATTTAACTAATGAGTGTTTTTACACTAATTACAAAAAGAGTAGCGAAGAATTCACACGAATCAAAATGAAATAATCTGAATATTGACAAAGTGCTAAAAAAACACTTCCGGTTTTGGCAGATTATGAAAACGTGAAGATGTTTGCACAAGGAGGTTTCGCTTTTGACACACCCAAGAATTGTCGATTTCCGTGATGTTTAATATCCTAGGTACTCACATCTGTTTGCATTTGACAAACATTCGCAGCGTTTTTTGCAATTCTCGCACAATAATTCTATGACGCCATGATAATAATTAATGCTAGCAATTTTATTATTCATGTTTTGAACAATAAATACTCGTTTTTCGAACCAGGAAACTTGAAAATTAGACACATGACTCACTGCTCCTAAAATTTACTTTTGAATTGTTTACTTGTTACTTTTTATGAGATCTGTAACTAATAACAATACACGTGCGACGAGTTCGCTTATCATTTACAAACAAAGCAATTAATGAGTTTATTTTTGGTTAACGTACGAAGCCATTTCAAACTGCGATAATTGAATTTATTGAATTCGACAAATTGCCAGCCAAAAAAAAATTAACCGTAATTACGTTATCCMTGAGAGTCTATAATGTTATAACTATTAGAACCGTCACAAATGGTACGTTTTTCAAATTCACAATTAAAAATAACAAACATGGAATTGTACTGAAAGATAAACTTTGAAGATAACAATTCGTCGCTTATCTGCTTGCTCTTTAGGTTCACTTTGCACGGTTTACCAACCTCGAAAAGAGTTTATTTCACTATGAGGAAGCAAATGCTCCAATAATTATTTTATCGTGTACATTATTGTAATACATATTCCACAAATACCTCCACAGCATCTGTTTTTCATACATAATGAAACCCTAAACAAGAACAAAAATTAAAAAAATAATAATACACCTATCAAATTTGGTGTGTATCGTGAGACAATATTATCAATAGTAAGTATGTGAAAAAATACATAATAACGGAGGAAATTTACGTTGTAAATTTTTAATAAAAAACAATAAGTGTGGAACGAGTTACACCTACGAAAGTTATTATCACGTGCTGACAATACCAGGTGAACAGAAAGTTGTATAAAATTTAAAAAAAAATGTCAAATAACAAGTAATTTGGCAAAATATTTTGTTCATTCTATTGCAATTTTAAGAGTAAAAATCGATATCAAGGAGTTGTCAAAAAACACTCAAGAAATTCAATTCATTCAATTTCAGTTTATATTTCCAATTTTTMTTTAAGTAAAAATCGGTGTTTCATTTATTTTATTCCCGAAGGAATAACTCAAAAACAAAGCAAAATTTCATTCTCAAAACACTTCATTTTTTTATGGCACTTTAATTTTTATTAAATGTTATTTTCTGATTTAAAAAATGCTTTTATAATTTTGTATAAGATAAAATTTAAATTATTCCATTTTGCATATTAATGCGCCACACTGCAGCACAATCGATTGAGAATTCTGATGGCTGTGTTGAAGGCGTTTATTTATTTACTTTAAAATACCACATGTATATAAACCTCATTTTTTAAAACTTGCTGCCCCCCAAAACATAAATAATTTATTATACCGAAGTGTGTTTATTGTAAATTTACACCAATGACAATTTTATTAAAACGACATTTACGTCATCGAAAAATTAGTATTTATTATTCGTTCCAKAATCAGAAGAACACCACCTGTTGAAATAAATTACGAAATAAAGAATCACAAGGTTATGGTCTCTTTTGTTTTGACAATTTTGCCATCAAATACGTATTTACCTCGAAAACAATAACTGTATAATTTCTTATGTCCTGATGATTCTTAATAAGCAAAATTAACCATGACCCAAATCTTCAATTCTGGCAAAATCTGGAACTCTCGCTTGGTGTCAATATTTGCACTTGATAACAACTTTTCAACAAAATTTTGCAAGTCGTGTTTGCACTGAAATAGGCATACCAATTCCACCAAGTGTTTCTTTAATTGGTTCAAAGTACAAACGGAATCATATGAGAAAACATATTAAACGGAGCCGTCATGTCTGACGCGAAACTAAAAACTCAAATACTATCTGTGTCCAATAATTAGAACATTACTAAGACCACACACGACAATCAACAGAAATAGTCAAAAGTGGTATTTATAGAATTTTTAGAAATATGTAATTAGCGAAAACTCTTAAAGTCAACGACACTATTCGAAATGAGACGTAACGAAACGCTTCCGTTAATAATACAAAAAATAAAATGTTTGATACTTTTCTTGGAAAAACCATGACATAAATTGCAAGATATAAGTTACGACTAAAGGTCAATAGTTGATTGTTCTAAGTATCGTTATAGATTAAAATCTCCGACTTGGAAAATCACTAGAAAGGAAATGAAGTATAAATAAATGCAACATCAAAAATAAATTTGATGGAAACCAAAAAATCATGAAATGTTAAAAAATTATATTAGTCAATTTCTATTATTAGAAATTGATAAAAGTGATTGATTGATGTCTACATATCAGGAAATAACTTTTTAATAAGATTTTTAAATTATAACAAAGGTTGTAACTTTTCAATAATTGCTTTTAATGAAGTTAATCACAATCGTAACAAGCACTCCTTCACTCCACCCAAAATTCTAAATTCTCTTTGCGACAACTCCTAGGAAATGATGTCATATCATCTCTCTACAGGATACAATCGAAAAACAAATTTTTCTGTATGGTTTTGACATCATAATTTGAAATTTCCCTGGTGTGATTAGTTCCTCTGTCAACAACTTGTCAAATAAATTTATTTATGACATGGAAACCATGGTGACCACAACTTTATGAGTAATTTATGTCAAACAACATGTTTTAGGTTAAGACGGTATTAAAATAATAGGATATTTTAAAATTATGTGCCAATTACGTTTGTAATTTTTATTTTACAAAACCCTTGAGTATTTTATATTGCAAGCTGTATAAATTATCATATTGGGCAATTCTTCCACCTGTGCAGGCAACAAAATATCCACAATTAAATACACAACTAAGGAGAGTAAAAAATCACTGTTACGCCACTGTCGATGATTTATTCATGATTTTCTCTAATAACAGCCGTTCTTTGGCACATGACCTTCGAAAAACAGGATATTTAACCGACTATCTTTTATGTTGGGTGTTGGGAGATAAGAAAAGTAAAATTAAATGCAATAAAAAATAAAATATTTACACAGCACATGGCACCTTCTGAAAACATAAAAATCTATTTTTCGTTCGTTCAACTGTTACCTAAATTAGTTTCAGTCATACAAGGCGTAAAATTACTCGTTTACTTTCACTTCAAGGCTTCTGTAATTAGCAAATTTTCGTTCCAATTTTAATTATTATTATGTCATCTCTGTAGCAACTGTCATTACCGTCAAAACTGACGTGAGTTCATCGAAACTGCAGAGGGCGGAAATTTTACCTTACTGGCAGTAAGTAGCAAATCCGATTAAAGCGAAATAGATTTTCCAAACCATGAAATGACTTTGATAAGGAGAAAAAAATCAGAAAAAATCCACGTAAAAAATCACAAACACTAAAAAAACCGTACAGTCGATGCCGCACATCCAAAATCCACCTAAAATTGCACTTTGTTTACTTTTTCAAAGGCAAAAAATCGCACTATTTGAATGGGGGCGACCGCAATCACACGTGTAAAACACCATTTCGCCATACACAAATGCAGTTCGCGCTCATAAGGCAAACCGGTGACTAAGAAATAAGCAAAGGCAGTCATCGCTTGATCGCGAGAAAACGAGAGTCATTTGTTAATACCAGCTGATGACGCAGGCGGCGCGCTCAGCTGATCGTTGCCAACAGAAAAATGAAATGTTACCAAGTTCATGGGAGTATTGGGAGTTATTAGGCGGGAGAACGAAGGACGATCCGAAATCAGTGTCGAATTTTACAGATGTTCCACCGTAAACGAACCAACCAATAATAGAGCAATGGGGGCACGTGACGGTCAAAGTCATCCCACGAAAATGCCATTTTCATAAATACAAAAGAACTTAGAGTTTTCCACTTTGAAAAAATCACACATTTCACACTAAATATTTTGATTGTTTTAACGCGGTATAATTCTTATTGTAGAAAAGTTTGGCTTTGAATATTGAGGCAACAAAATTCTGCATGACTTGTATTTAAAGCAATTGATTGAATATTCAAAAAGTGAAACCTATCGATGACTAGAAAAAATTCTAAGAGTTTGAATACATAATGCACTACAAATACAGCATGAGTCATTCATTACCTATATAATAGAAACCTTAACCGATTTTTAGACACAWCCCAAAATACATTCAGATCCCACTACCGGCACTACCTATCTGTTAATGGATGTACTATTAGCAATTTTTCAAAGAAATAAACATAGATATCTGTGATAGCTCTGAAAGTTTTTACCAATTGGCATCCTACGATATACTTTTTACGGTACGTATTCAGCTCCAGCATATTTGTAGCATWCTCCGTATGTCAAGATCATGTCATTTCAGTACATCTTGAATTATAAAATAAAGTGGAATTGATGACACTGTCAAATTTAATGACAAACATATCAACAACTACCTACTTTGTAATGTCATATTAACAACTTTCAATACGATGGTTCGTTCACAATTAAACTTTCATGGCTTGCTTTGATGCCCCATTATAACTCTATTTATAACATTATAATTAAAAATTTTGTTAGAGAAAACAGCATTTAGATACATAATTCAGTTTCGATAAAAATTAATTGTTTCCATAAAATCTATGTGACTGCAATTTTTATAATACAAATTGCTATAATTGTGATGTCAGCACCAATTAAAATTTTCACTAGCAATAACAATTAACTTTCGCAAATACCTCAAACCACAGATACGCCAAGTTATCATTCAAGATACCGCAACCCATAAAACTTTTATATCTTTCTAAATTTAATTTCTTGAATTTGTGTTAATTCGTCAAACAGTAAAGCACTGTAAACAATAAACACATCTCTTATCTTATTCCATTTCAAATTCACAAAAAATAACCAATGCAAGCAACATTACGTAAATATTTGTTCAAAAAATAGACCGAAATACCGATTAGCTAATCTCTCTTTGTTTTGTTGTTGCAATAAAGAAAATGTGTTACAAGAATGTTTCAATTGCTTGGTCGGTTTATAGATGGCGATAGTATGTACAAATWCCGYGTACGTTTCTGCCCGAGCTATCATAATATRCCACTTGAGGGAAGCTTTCGYCAGCTTTGCGCAGTGGCAGTATCGTAACCGATGAGGTAAACCCGAGGTGCGATTATTGCTAGTTGAAAACTTTAACCAATACCCCGCCATGTGCACGTGAAATACCGTGCGCTAAGGCAATTTTTGGAAGCCTCTACGGGGGCTTATTATTCAATTAAAGCATAATTCTAGGACTTACAGAGTCGCTATCCTCCAGGCTGAAGTCCCATGACGGAGCGGGCGATGCACATCGGCTTCCACTGTTCAAGGTTTGGGATAACAGAGTTTGGTTCGGGGAGGTGTCGTCGTCCAAGGCATGATCTTCAGGTATGCTAGCGAAGGGTTGAGGAACTCTATGCCTTGGGACAGGGGAGACCGAACCGGTAGACCCCTCGATGACAGGGGGGCCACCGGACACAACCGTCACATTGAAACGACGTACGGGGGTCGCACCCCCACTTGCTGAAAAAAAATCTTAATTAGCTTTAAAATTTGGCAGACGGAGTGACTGGCCAAGAATAATTTTGTTTGTTACAAGTTGAGACACCTGGGATTTGAATTTGGACTGGTGACAAAGATAATAAGTACATTCATGAAGCATTTGTGTTTATTGTTGTGCAAGTAAATATGAGGAATTACACGTGGATGTTTTGGTTTTCTTCCCATGTTTTTGTAATGACAGGTACATTTTTACTAATGATGGAATTGTACACGTGGCTTGAATATACAGMGTGTTTCACATGATTTTACGACGCTTGCGCCTGTAAGATGCAATCAATAATACATATTCCGATACGAACTCGATTACAAATTTTGAAAAATTGGATAAATAATCTTCTCTAGTTTGTTCACCCTTTCAAAAATTACGTTTTTAACTTTTTAGTTAGTTAGTGATTAAAATAAATAAACTTGAATCAAAGTCATGCCGTCTCTTGATAGATCAAATAATAATTGTTTCTGAAAAATTACAGTTTATGACTATTAATGAAACAGTGACTAGTTTGACACTACTGTCATGGGTTTCCAAAAATTAAATAATTACATGTGTTTTTTTTGCATCCAGTGTTTTGTGTATTTGTGCGTACATTAGGCGCAAGCCTCGTAAAGTTGTATGAAACACTCTGTATGTATCGTTTTTTTAGGCAGAGAAGAAAAATTAATCGTTCTGCTCCGAACTAGAATGRTAATAAAGTGTTTTAATTTGATAACATGTATATTTTCCTACAAGCAATCGTTAAGGAATTAAACATTAAACTGAGTGCGAAAGGTGCCTAATTCAGTTGTAATAACATGTATACTACTAATARAGCTTACAGAATGGTTGAAGTTTTTCTTCTAAACTTCTAATATAGATACGTAAAGATGATTACTTTCGGACATACTACATATCGACTCTCCCAACGAAAACTATAGTAACTCATAAAAATTAGTTTTTGAGTACGATGGCTTATGTAGGGCCCAAAATACAAAAACAATTAGAAAAAAWTTCTTTGAAGAAACAATATATTATTATTATTATATTACATATTACCAAAACTTAGACCTTAGCAATTTTCAGTAATATTAAACAGTTCCTTGATTTTTTATTAATAATCAAAGATTCAATGCAATTTTTCTCGAAGCTGTAATTTTTGAGTTACTATAGTTTTCGTTGGAATTGTCGATATATAGGACGTTTTCAAATTCGCTCCCTAGAGAAAAGTTCCAAGTAAGATAAGATACCAGGAACATGAAGAAAAATGTTTAAAAAATTCTACCTCTCAAAAGATGTTGATATTTAATTTTTGACATTTGACCTTTTTTATGTCTATTTTTAATGTTACCGATGATCTTGTACAGTTGGTTGCAATAAAAACGGAAAATTGAATTATCTTTAGATTTTGCTGTCAATTTAGTTGTCAATTTGTCATCTATCGCATTCAAATAATTTTCTCTGCAATGCCGCACTTAAATGCTGAGAGTATCAAATGCAAATCAAGATAATCAATTAGTTGAGTACAGTTGGAGACAAAATACTTTGGTCGTCACTTTTCTGACACTTTAATGTAATTCAAGCTTTAACGTTAAAATAAATGACAATTTCAAATTAATGACAGGTATTACATTTTCCTATCAAAAATATGTACATACAACTTGTCAACTATGATTGACAGTAGCTAAAAATAAGGTTAACAGTCCTAAAACATGCTTTACAATTTAATGTCACTCAAGTGACATTGACGACCAAAGTATTTTGTCTCCAATTGTACTTACGTGAAAACCCAATAAGTAGTGAGTACTACAGATTAACTGTCGGTTCTAACTTAACCATTTAGAATTAAACCATGTTCAAACTATGGATAAATATGAAAATCTGACATTTTTGCGCTTTGACATTTTCCGATTTTTTTGCAACCAAGAACCAAGTGTATATGTTTTTTTACAATTATTTTGTAAAGATACAAAAACTAACTAATTAAAGCTACAAATATAGCGTTGAACATATAGCTACAATTTAGGATACAGCTTCTTTGGTTTCCCTTCTAATAGCTTGCAGCAAAAAAAAACATGTAAAATTACTTTTCCAACAGAAACCAATAGGATCAAAGTGSCCATCAAATCCCCATAATTTCGAAATTCTTATAAATTCCATGTCCCTGGTATTATCTTAATTCACATTTTTCTTTAGAGTGTGTATAATACGTAACATTTTGTTCAAATATCATTTATCAAATTTACCGTAATTGCTTTTATCCACCTCGTAACCGAATAAAAAGAGAAACGAGTTAAGCTCTGAGCTTTCGACATAATCCAGTAATTGCGTAGCATACGCCATGTCCCAATTTTATTTTGCAATTTAGTATTAATTGTATTATTGATTCTTTGAAATTACGAAATACATACATTTGGTTGTTTAGAGCTTAAGTAAAGTAATAAACTAATAAATACATGTATTTTATCAACACATCGAATTTTAATTAAATTAAAAATCTAATGATAAGAGTTTTGACCGCAAAGAAACGTCAATCAAATTCGTAAAATGATAAATAAGTTTTGTTTCAGTTAATTAACTTATACACAAATATTTTTCAATTTGTGCTTCAAAAATTTTGTACCTAATTTAATTCCTCAGTATTGATTCTGTAATGATACCCTTGACACTCCGATTAAATTCCATTATCCATCACAGAAAAAATGAAAAATTCCTTGTACCTAGGACAAGTAAAGTTTTGGGGTTTCTCTCCCTGACCTTCGRTAACAAAGCATCGACCGGTCTTTGCGGAGCTCAAACGTTCCGGGAATCTCATTTTCCGCAATAACGAACTGAATTATAAATGTTTTACTGACAATCTTGTTTTTTCGCGATAAATAACTTAGCCAAAGTGCCGTAAAAGAACCTTGAGCTATAAAAATACTCTTCTAAAAGTAACATCACGTGGAACTCCCGTCAAAATCGTTGCAATAAAAGAGAAAAACAGGGAAAATTACCTTGTCGTGGCTGGCGACGCCACGAACTTTTGTGTGACGACGTTTTGGCAGATTTTAAGCCATAATCACAAATAAAACTTCACAAAAAACTCGGCGAGAAGGCATCGCACTGCGGGACAATTCATGCCGAGTTATCCCCACTTGCGCTTGCGGCACTTGCAACCACCCCCGTGACCGTGATTTTTGACTTTTTTAAAGCGATTAAAAGATGCAACTTATCGATTCAGTCCCTAAGCGGATACAAATCACTCCAAGTGTTTCAAGCTCGCTCGAAACAGATAAAACAAACAATTCTATTTGCGGAATTTATTAGAACTGTTCAAAACCGTCGACGACTACTTGAACTGTGACTACATTTAGAGCAAAAATTTTCCTCGTGTGGGGCCGAACGCGCTAAGTAACCATTTATCCCGCTGAAAATTTCCGCTGAAGACAAAAAGCTCCGTCAGGCATTACGTAAAAAGGCAGGTGCAAAAGAAGGCCATTCCGGTCATGTAAAACTCGCCACACATCGAATCGTATCAAGAGAATTTCCCGGTGCACTTGAAATTTTGATATTTTTCAGCGACCGGTGCTGAAAGTCAACTGTTCGGCAAATATTCAGCAATTACTGCGGATGGTGGCGCCTCACTTTCTAGGTCACGTAACTAAAGCGTCGCCAGCAGGACGTTGTCTGAATTTTTCCTGAAATTGATTGAAAAATGAGCTTCACTAGCATGACTTTTGTTTCAGGAACAAACACAAATTGTCAACCAAGTTGAAACACGTATTTTCAAACCTTCAACAAGTAAACTCACCAAGAGACTTCTCTATTAATAGGCGTCATGTGATAATCGAAGTGATTTACTTTTCTGTTCAACATATGCTCGACTATCATATCGTAAATATTTTTAGACATGTTTTTTCAGCTATTCTTACACCTTGTGGATTTTTATATTAAACTAACAAATTACCACATTTTTAATTACTTTTAAATAAGAGCCTTGAACTCAATGAATATAAAACYAGCTAACTTMGAAAAATTTCTGAAAAAATATTATAACGCAAACTGAAATTTTAATAAACCAATAAAACCTAAAATAACTATGATTTGCTTTCTTCCCATATGCTAAAAACGTATTTGCTATTAATGTAGAATGGAAATTTTTGAATTATATTCTGATACTGAACGTGACAGGTACTGGAAATATTAAATACTGTTTTGTTTACAAAATTATGCGTTTACACTAATTTAAAGTCTACTCAACCCAAGGAAATAAATGTTTAACGACATCATAATTAAATTATCACAATTATCTACTATATTGTTTATCGAAAAAATTAGTGGACAAAACTATTTTTATGACTAGTCTAATTTAKTTGTGAATTTATTTTTCCATTTGTCAATACATATTCCTAAAATATTTAAGTTTATTTTTAACTTAGAAACCTGATTATTAAATAAATTTATTTTTCCATTTGACAATACATATTCCTAAAATATTAAAGTTTATTTTTAACTTAGAAACCTGATTATTAAATGAAATAAGCATGATACTTGAATTGTTATTAATGTTCTATAAGGTCGACATGAAACACATAACAAACACGATTAAATTGAGGCGACAGCCGAGAATAAATAAATATGTATAACAAATAATTATTAATTGAATTAAAATTACGATGGGTAGGTATTTAAAGAGTTAGGTAAAAATATAATACCTAGTATTTTTTCAACAATTTAGTCATTTTTGACTCGGTATCTTGGTATGACCAAATCATAGTGTTCAGCTTAAAAATTTGCGTAAGCTCTCAAAAAAAGCAAAAATAAGATACAGGGTTGGTTAAGATAAAAAAATACATGAGCGTACTTTTTTCTCGAAAAATTTTGAAGACAAGGATTCTTAGGAATATCATTTTTGAAAATTCTTGTCATGCGTTAACAATTTAATAATTTGTTCATCATTCTTTCTCTTATGTACGAGTACCTACTTACTTATTATAATTTTTTAAAGAATAACAGTGGTTGTGAAATATTATTTCATACGACGCCTATGAACAATATTTTTTTTAATAGTAAACATATGTTTAGTGTCAAAATTCAGTCATTTTTGACACCGTCAGTTCGCCACCAGATTTGGAACAAGCTATATATATTGGTATTGATGGTTGCGTCAAAAAAAAATCAGAAATAACTCTCTCCTGAATAACCCTGTAGTTTTGGACTTAATTTGTTTGTRGCTTAGTTTGCATTAGCGAAATTTAGCTAAAAATCTGAGATCTGCAGATTTGAGAACAAAAATGTGCTTTAAAGCATTTTCGAATAATTTTTTTAAGTTTTGGACTTATTTTTGCCTTAATTTTGCTCAAAAACCTGTTAAATCGAGTAAAACAAACAAAATGACATCAACATCAATTCTTTTATGATTTTTAGGCATGTTTAGACAAGATTTTACAAAATGAAAGCAGCTCTGATACAAAAACGAATCGAAACAAGCTAGAAAATAATATCAATTAAATTTTGTATTTTTTAGCTCGTATAAATAATATTTTCCATTTTTTTTTCGTTTTTATCTCAAAAGCGACCTAATATATATAGACCTAATACCTACCGTTTTTAGTCATGTTAAGTGGTAGGTCTGACATGGATTTGGCAGCAGAACTACTGCGTTAGATCTTGTGGAAAGACGAGAAGTTGCTGCCGCTGCTGTCAGTGCTGTCAAAACATTTACTAAAGTTAACCTAAAACATTAAGTACGTTGTTGTTATTACAATAATTAATTTAAATGTATATYACAGTAAGAAGGTAAAAATACAATATTGAATTTATTTTCACATGAAGAAATACATTATACCTTGTTTCAGGACATTTTTCATGTGATAACAATGGTCAGTATAAACAAATCTTTCCTTTATGGGATATGTTTTGCTTCTCTAACATGGATAATATCACTCTATTTGTATATAAATCTTACAAATAATGAGCCTACAACCACCCACACACCTTTWAAATTTGCAAAAACAGGCCATCCATTCAATAGTTTGGATCACGATTTTAAGGTTTCTAAATCTTACACACTGAGAAGAAAATTTTTTAATCAGGGCACTAACAGCAAACATTTAATAAAAAAACTGCAGCCCGTATACCCAAAATTGAGTAGTGAGGGTGGTAAAAATGGTAAGTGTTTAATCAAGTTTGTCAAAATGCCCTAAATTAATTTTTCAAGAACTAACCCAACTGGGTCTAGTTAAAAACGTCGATGATCAAAGAAAGAAAGACGAGGGTTACAAAAAACACGCTTATAATGTTTTGATAAGTGAGAGATTGAGTTATCACAGAGACATTCCAGATACAAGAAATGAGTTGTGTAGAAATATTTCATACTCTGCTGATTTACCAACTGCTTCTGTTATTATTTGTTTTTATAATGAGCATTATCATACTCTTTTGAGAACAATTCATTCTATTATTGATAGAACGCCAGCTTTGGTGTTAAGAGAAATTCTCTTGGTTGATGATTACAGTGATTTGAAACATTTACACGAAGATCTTTCAACATACATTGAGAAAAACTTTGATAACAGGGTTAAATTACTAAAAACTGAGAGAAGYGAAGGTCTAATTAGGGCAAGGTTGTTTGGAGCCAGGAGAAGTAAACAGGATGTAAGTCTGTAATTTATTTCAATTCCAAAATATATTTTTTCTATTTTAAGGTGATAATATTTTTAGACAGTCATATTGAAGTCAATGTTGGCTGGATTGAACCATTGTTGCAACGGATTAAGGATAATTACACCAATGTCGTAATGCCTGTTATAGACATAATTAACGCTGACACTTTTGCCTACACAGCTAGTCCTTTAGTCAGAGGAGGCTTTAACTGGGGGCTACATTTCAAATGGGAAAATTTACCTAAAGGTACCAATCTGGAATATTTGTTTTTCRAATCTCAACTAAATATTACAGGTACTTTATCTACAAAAATGGATTTTATCAAGCCAATTAAGTCACCAACAATGGCGGGAGGTTTGTTTGCAATGAATAGGAAATATTTTACTGATTTGGGTGAATATGACGCTGGAATGAATATATGGGGTGGCGAAAATTTAGAAATTTCATTTAGGGTTTGCCTTATTTAATAATATATGAAATAAAAATTAGTTGAAAATTTTAGATATGGATGTGTGGGGGGAGGCTTGAGCTGATTCCTTGCAGTAGAGTAGGGCATGTTTTTAGACAAAGGCGCCCATATGGGGCCCCCGACGGGCAAGATACAATGCTGCATAACTCGCTCAGAGTTGCAAATGTATGGATGGATGCTTACAAGGAATATTTCTTGAGTCATCGTCCTGATGCAAAAATGATTGATTTTGGCGACATTTCGTCAAGAATTGAGTTAAGAAAAGAACTTAAATGTCACGATTTTGACTGGTATTTGAAGAATGTGTACCCTGAGTTAGCTCTACCTACTGATAATGAAGAAAGATTAAAGAAAAAGTGGTCAGCTTTGGAAAGTGATAAATTCCAACCATGGCATTTACGAAAACGCAATTATGTCGATCAGTACCAAATTAGATTATCTAATAGTTCGTTATGTGTTCAAGCAGCTAAAGATATAAAGAGCAAAGGTAGTAATTTAGTTTTGAAGAAATGCATTAGAACGAAGAATCAAATGTGGTACCAGAGTGATAAAAATGAGCTAGTGTTGGGGCAATTGCTTTGCTTACAATCTGGGAAAAAACGCCCAATTTTATATAAGTGTCATGAAATGGGTGGTGACCAGGAGTGGAATCATAAAGGAGAGGTAAAAAATTGTTGATTATCCGATCGAGTTAAATAATTATGTTTTTTAGAACAAATCTGCAATATATAATATAGCAGCAGGCACTTGTCTAGGTGCAGAAGAACAAAAACTTGGGGCTTTTGTTACAATGAAGCTGTGTTCAGATACGAATTTAATTAGTTGGGATATTCTAAGGTGAACAAATTAAATTGAATATTTTTTAAGACTGATTTGTTAATTAAGGCTACAATTTTTACATAAGAATAACTTTTTACTGTTATATGTATATATTTTGATAAATATGTTTTGATATTATTTTTGCTGTTTATGCATAAAATTGTCAATGCTCTCTTGAATCGAACAAATTTCAATAAAATATGTTTTTAAAATAAGTGTGCATTTTGTTTTTATTTCAGTACTGTGTTCACTTCAAGAATGATTGCAAAATTTGTCGTTTGTTACTAGTTTTTTTTTTTATAAATGCACTGTTTTTTTACCCTCTTGTTTGTTTAAGAACACCTTAAAAGTGCAATCTTTTATCCTCTCTGAAGGAGGATAATTTTATCGCTTGAATTTGAATGTAGAGTAGGAATAGAAAACAACGTCACAGGTGATGTGCGCCGTGAACGAAATTACATTCAGAGATGGGCCACGTGTTTTATGTTCTCAATTCTTCTGTCAAATGTGTGTGTTACCATAGTTCTATTGCTTTTTTTCTTATTTTCTAAAAAATTTGCTGCTTTCTTCGGTCACTTATTGGAAGAGGGAAGCAAGGAATTTTTAATAAAAATAGAATTCTAATACATTTTTATTAAAAAAAAAACAGTATTGAAGATTCATGCAATATGTTTTTATTAAAGGCTCTCAATCATTACCGTTGAATTCTATTCTTATTACTTAATTATAAATTGCCAAATACCCACAGGGCGAGTCATGTATAATAAAAACCCTAACCGATTTTCAGACGCAACCCAAAATACATTCGCTTAGATAATTTTTGACTATTATACCTACAATCTGTTCAGTTTTTTTTTTGTACCGGGTGGGGCATCCGTTACGCCCAAAAAGAAAATCCCCACTTCTAATTAAATAAAATTGTTGAATTTTTTCACACTTACCTGGGCATTAGTAAGGTACATTCTCTAATGTTTTGGTAATTTTTCATTCACAAACAAAGCCAAAAAAATAAATAAAAAGTAATTTTCTCCCAAAAAGTTTGATTCTAATTTTTATACTGACCTACGCAGATTCACTTCCTACAATTGTTTACAAAATCAGAAAAAAAATAATTAGATTTTGAAATTAACGCAATTTTCCATCTTAACTTTGAAAATTATTTTTATTTATGACCTGCTACTTGTGCCATCGTAAATTTAGGTGACAATGGGGAACTGCAATTGGGGTGAGCTTCCAAGGTTTACAACAAAAAGACCCTTTAAAGTGGTCGGCTACCAGTAAATAATTCTTTTGTTAGCAAATATACCATTTTGTCATAAATCACGGGTCTGGTTTGTGTTTAAATAAAAAAAGCGATTATTTGGCTAACCAAGTCAAAATTTGAAATTGTGATATCAAAGTTTGATGCGCTGACAGGTACAGATTCATTTAGTGTAAAAACTTTATAGGTAAATTAACAGAAAGTATTCATAAAACACACAAAACTGTTACGGACTCATTTATTATACAAAAAAAATAGAAAAATTCTCAAATTATACCCTATCAATAATTAGTTAGGTATATGAATTGTATAGGTGTATAATGTTAGGTATATAATTTGAAGTCGCGATTTATCAAGTGCGCGTAATCGATGCCCCACCCGGTATATTGCACTTTTTAAGAAATGTTTTTTTTTGTATGGTGGTGTCAAATCCCAAGTTTACAACAGAAACAGAAGTGATTGTGACGGAATATTGATTGCAGATTACCTACAAATTATACTGTAGACCTCTGCAGCTTGTAGAAAAGTAGAAAACAGTTTTTCATACCTTATTGTTAATTTAAAAACTAGAAGGAATTTCTTGAAGAACGATCACATTTTTATAGTACCTTACACTGCACTAATTATATTTTTCGTAAAGTAATTACTTTATGCAAAAAACGCTTGATTTCATACTTTTTACTTACCGTGTATGTACTATAAAAGTCCCCGGTGCTCCGAGGTGAGCCTAATAGTGTTAGGTATAAATTAAGTTTCTCTCGATTTAAGTCCTAATAACTCAATAAAACTTAAACTTTGGGGTATAATATATAGCAGAAAAGTTTTTTATCGTTTGAATTAAGTATGTAAAAAAAACTAAAGATGACGAAGTAAACTTTTTATGCTTTATTTTATTTTTTTTAACAAAAATATGAAGGTTTCTTATAATAAATTAATAAAATAATAAGGAAACAAAAGTCTTATTCAAACGATGAGTTTTTAGAAACCGTTGAATTTTCAGCTGTTTTTTCCCACTCTCTTGTTCTTCTTATCTGTTCTGATCTTAGGCCGGAAACCGCGACCACGAATTGCTTTTAATTGATTTCCGATAAAAGGTTTCCGCGTTTAACATAATAGCGGTGAAGTGTTGACATCCACTCGGTATGTGAACGGCGCCACGTGTTCCCTTTTGCGCCACCCTGACACTCTTTCACATCTCATCACTTCAGTGTCACCCTCCTGAAAAACACTGAAACGTTTCAGTTACTGCCCTAACACCAAATAAGTTATCACTTTTTCGCACTAGTTAGCTCTCTAATTGTTCGCTTATTTCTTATTTGTGTCACGATTTCAAAAGCATCAAATACAGCTTGGTCTGAAAGTGACACTTTGTGGTATATGTTTGCTCATACTTGTATAGATTTTATTGGTACTGAAAGTTCTTTAGAGATACAGAGGGCACAAACTCGAGAACTCGAGGCGTTTGACGTGCCGAGATGGAGAGCTTTCGTTGRTCTTGTCCTTGGATGATCACTAGATACTGAAAATTTTTATTAATGACAATGATGTATAAGCTTAAAAAACTCATTAAGCTTGTAATTGTATAAGCCAAATCCGCCCTTAATATCCATGGCCGCCTGAATAATTCGTAAAGCTGTATTATAAAAGAGACAAGCTCTATAACTCAATAATGACAAATTACTACCATTAATAATAAAAGTTGAGCTTTTCCGAGCTTATCTATAAAATATATCGTAACTGTAGGTTCGCGTTATACGAAAGATGTAAAAAAAGCAATGTTTAGTGACAGGTCGAAAGGGTGAACAAAGCCAGGACACGACCAATCACGAGAAAGCTCTCTCATTACGAGCGCCAATGAAACATTTTCTACTCGACCCAGCCACCACTGATCGTCGGCCTTTTAACCCTCTGGAAACAGGGGGCGGGTTGTAAAGTTCAGGTTGTTTTGTGGTCGAAATTCTACTGCATGTGGCGGCTGAAAAGAAAATAGCTACTGTTGAAGTAGGCTCCAAAAGAGTCGGATGTGATTGTGTCAAGACACTCTTTCACTTTACGTCGAAATGTAAGTGATTTTTTATACGCTTTACTAACAAAAACACTAATTATTATTAATATGCATATCTACATATTAACTGTTTTAGTTAGACTTACTTATATTGTCTTCAATTCATTAAAATTTTTCAAAAACTAAAAAATAAAAAATATATCTTAATGTCTGTACATGTTTTTGTAAGAAATCAATATTCTCAGATATAAATGCTAAAAGTTACTTATTTTTTTTTTGTAATACACATAAGTATTAACAACATATTTTTGTGAAATAGGTAGGTACTCATAATTTATTTATAGGTAATATTTTTATTAATTTTTTCAACTTTTATTGGCCAACTTATAGTTATGAAGTTTTTTGTATGCATATGTTTTTTTTAACTTGTTCTTAAAGAAATTGGCATTAAAGAATATACAAAAATATGTAATTACATACATACCTATTTGAAAAAAGGTGCAGTGTAGGTAAGTTTTATCTTTAAAAATTTTGTAGTGTTATAAGTAAGTATACATTATATTTAGTTATTAATTATACTATTATTACAGCTAAATAAAGTTACATAACAAAGCAAAATTATTTAAACTAAATTAACAGTTTACAGTTTTTTTTTCTTGATGTCTTGGTAGGAAGTTGAAGTTGAAAATTTTCTTTCTAATTAGGTATCATATTTATAATTATCTTATTTTATACCTACATACGTATACCTATAACTAATTTCTACATTTATCTAGTACAAACTTTATTAAAAATTTCTACTTTACTTGTGATTTATGAAAATAAATTTCGCAACGTTTACTTTTGGTGGATGCACTGGTAAAGTGCAAAAATTGCACAGAGAAGTAGATAAATACATACATAAATGTAATTTTAAATTTTATTTATGTGTTTTTTTGTTTTTAAAGACATTAAAAAATAAAAAAATTTCATAGTAACGCAGAACATGTTTGTTTTTATTTATTATTTATTAGTTATAATTAATTAATAAATTAATTTTATTTAGGTAAGGTTGAGTCAATTTTAACAAATAGAAAATAATTGTTCAAGAATAAATTTCAACTAATTTTAGAACCTAATGTAGGTATAAGGTAGGTACCTATTGTTAGCGCGAATTTTATATGTATTACATTTGTAGCAATGATGAAACTATATTTTGCTTACAATAAATTTCAGAATCACATTTTAATTTTAGCTTTTTAAATACTCTTACTATTAAGGAAATTTTATTTGGACTAGTCACTACCTGTAGTTTTGTCTCGATTTAAAAAAATTAGAATAGATATATACCTACGACAAGAATAATCTACAAAAACTAAAATCTTATTCACGCTAGCCTTTGACTTGAACGACAAAAATAATTACCTATAAACCAACACAAATAAAAATGTTCCAGAACGATAGAGTAAGACAAAAAACAATGCACGGCAATAAAATGTTTATAGGTAAAGTCGTAAAAAAATGATTGACATATTGAATTATTATTAATTATGTTTATAGTAATAATAATATTTTTTATAATAATTTATTTGATATCTTTACTCAGGGGCTATATTACGTACTACCTAACTGTTATGTAAGGAACCAAAAAATAACAAATAAATTATATTTAATTTAATTTTGCATAAAGTTAAAGTCGTCGTTAATTTGTACTTTTCTGTCTTTAGTTCATAGGTACGTTTCTGTTGTTTATATTTATCTGTTCTTAAACATTGCATGCAATTCGTATTTTTGTAACGAAAAATCTATTCTCGTCATTATGTATACATTTTTGGGTTCAAAATTTTTTTTGGTCGTTATAAACATCTTTCTTGTCGTTAGTTTAACCTTTTCTGTCAAGCCGATAAATCCCATCTTTTATTTTTTTGAGATTTTAGGTTTTTTATACTACAAAAAATGTACATTTGTCTCAAAATTCCAACGACTCATTTATACACCACGTGGCATTCAATTTCACTGGCAAAGTCGCAACTGTGTTTTTTAGGTGAAATAGGTTATAACCATTTTGATTTCTATATAAAAAAAGAATCTGTATAACAATTTGACCCTATTGACAAATTTAGTGTCAAAATACTCCATTATTTCATACAGAAAAACATTATGAAAAGTGCCAAAATGTCTATTAAAATGGCACTACGGCGACGTAATACTTTTTGTGTTTYTTTCAGCAATTTAAAACGGTTTCAAATGTTTTAGGTAAATATACGTATGTATGTTAAGTTGCTCTAATTGTTATTGTACTTACAAAGGCGTTACAAATAACCTTATGCATCACCCCAATCGCAACAGCTGGCAAAAAAATGCATACCTATGAAGATGAGTAGTATTTTTTCTACCCCTGAGATCATGCACAAAATTATAAATTTAAATTTGTCTAATTTGTTATGAATGAAATCAATCAATAGCTTTAAAGTGACAGCATAAAAAAATAATTACTTTAAGATGACTCTCACTTTTTTATTTCACTCTTCCTTTACTTTAAATTTACATTTAATACAAACAAGTTATTGCAATTTTTTTAATATTAGCAAATTATAAACACATCAAAGGCCACATATGGTCTACTCTTAACATTTTCCACCCAGTTTCAAATCATGCACACGTCGTATATTAAATTCTCGTTAAAAGTTAACTTCCTCTTGTAGCTTTTTTCCGGCGACGATCGAGTTGATAAATGATTTCCAGTTTAGATATAAAACCATGTATTAAGCTCATATCAAAATATTCACACCATGTAATTAAGTCCCCTTGCATTCATATGTTACCGATTGGTAAATGACAACTTATGTTAGGACAATTGTCTCTTTCTGGCCCGAATATTGGTAAATAAATTTCTCTCTATTGCACTGATTCATAGACTTTTGGGGCTGAACGGTTCGTGCCAATCTGGCATACAGTAACATATTGTCTAATTTGTAGTTGCATTATGTAATTAGTGGTCCATAATAAACCGGGGGTCGTGCCACGAGAATGTACAGGTGTTAAAGCAAGTTCAACCCTTCGTACCTGCAGCATATTTACGTATATACGACTACTTCAAATCATTACAAATTTATTTGGGCCTTATTATTAAATAATCACTTGCGTATCAGAATATTAAATTTCAGATGGACATTTTCAGTACAAAAATATTTAAAAAATGTTTTTGGTGGTAGGTGAATGTGTTTGTTTTTAAATCAGATATGACTTGAACAGGTATAAGCAGATGTCATTTTTCTCACATCAAGAATTTAACATGATGGTAGAGCAGTATATAAGATCGACGGTAACTGGCCACTGCAAGTGGAATAATGGCGGCCCGACCCATTAAAAATAAGCTTATGGAAGAAGACAATCAAATATTTATGTGGTCTGACCACCGCCATTATGTGAATATTAAAATAGATTTCCATAAGCGACGTTCAATACCTGTAGAACATTTTATTTCTTTAATAATATATTATAAATATTAATTAATAAGTTATATCCTTCATTACTATTTAAAATGTTAACGTGTAATTTTTCGTATAAAAAAACGTGCTGGAGCACCCGTGATTTTTCACATACATAAAGTTTTTCTTATTAAATTTGTGTTTCTCAAGTAATTATCATCCTAAATTTTAAAAGCTTTTTCGTACAAACCTAACAGAAAATAAGTTTTTTCAACTAAATTTCAGACAGAAATGTGGCAATAACCTCTTTTGTTAAAATTACACAGTGTGTCCTGGCGGATAGGCGCAACAACTCTTGTAACAGATAAAAAAAAATCGATTTGAATTTTAATTTTTTGAGTTCAGTCTTGCTTAAAAATATATTTGTAATATAATTTTAGTTTTGAAAAATCAAGTATGCTTTCAAAAATTTCAAAAAACCTATTTTTTAGAGTATATGTGTTTAATACGACAAAAAGTTATTAAAAAAGTTGTTTGGAATCAACATTTAGGTCTCTATACCAAATTTCTACTCTTACTTAATCTCTACACTAAAATAAGTTTTTGAAAATTTCTAAGGCATAGGTACTTACTTGATTTTTTAAAATTAAAATTATGTTAGAAAAATAGTCTTTATTCAATTCTCTATGTTAAAATTTAATTTTATCTACTCTTTTCTTCATGTTAAAATGAAATTTTATCCTCTAGATGATAAAAAACACATCCATTGTTGCTTATCTGCGGTTGTTAGTTGCTAACAATCTTTGATATTAGATTTCATTGTTGAATTTTACTTTGACATTCATAAATATCGACCAAATTGACTACAAAATTAGTGAGGATTGAATAAAATTTTATATTGTACACGACGCTAAAATTTTCATTATCTTTTCGAGCATATTAGCAAATTGCTCTCAATTCAATTTTATCGTCTTGTATAATAAATAACTATTAACRAAYCAAGGCTGAAAATCTCAAAAAATAAAAATTTACATTGAGAATTTTTTTCTTTTACAAAAGWTGTTTCACCTATACACATTTGCAGTTTTTTTTAAATCTTGTGACTTGGCGCACTTTGCATCTATACACCTTAAATGTATAACGATTATTTTAAATAAGTTTACTAAAATTTGTGTGTTATGCTAAAACTTATTTTAGTTTTCTTAAAAGTATTCTGTAAAATTTAATTGATAAATGAATTTTTTATATTTTTTATACCTACTCATAGATACGTGAATAGGATATAATAATTYGGAATTAGATGTAAAATATTTAGGTAATGATTAGTCATTGTCACTAATTGTTACTTTATTAAAGACGTTTTTAACTTTTTTACTTTAATTGAATTTATAAGAAAAGTCAATTACTAGTAGGTAGGTATGTACTAGTAAATAGAACAAATCATTACAGTTTTCAAATAAAAATGTATTATATATTTATTATATAATGTATTATATATTTATTATATTATATATTAATTATATTTATTTACTTACATACTTAAAAAATATGTATTAAATACATAATACAGTGGATATTTTGAAAACAAATATTTTTTATGTAATTTTCTGAACACAGCAGAATATTAAAAGCATCCAATACTGGGTTATACAGTGGCCGGCAAAATTATGGAATATAACTTATTAAAACTGAAAATATTTTGTTTTAGCGAAAATGGTCAAATAGGTCAAATTTCTTTTTAAAAAATACACTATTTTCAACTTGATTAAAAATTTTTCATTTTGGTTTTTAAGGAGTGACGTTATCGACATCTTTTTAAATGGAAACTCCTAATTTTTTTAGCCAATTCGATAGATCTTTTTATTGTTGAAATGACAACACCAAAATATTAAATATGACAGTAAAACAATCAGTGTCAACAAAAAACAAACATATAATTTTAAATCAAGTTGAGAATTTTATATTCTTTAAAATGAAAATTGACCTGTTCGAGCAGTTTAGTCAAAATAAAATAATTTCAGTTTTAATAAATAAGATTATTACATAATTTTGCCGTTCAATGTATGTGTATAATACATACAGGGTGCTGAATTTTAGATGTCCGAATAGGGAAGCTCCGAAACTAAGAAGTTTAGCCAAAAACGAGTGATACATTCTGAGGCMCATTTTTTGAGAAAATAATATTAGTTAAAACCGCATCCTGCTATCGTCTTTGGTTTTCGAGTTATAGTCAAAAGTTGGRATTTTAGCAAAATCTAAAAAAATCATATCTTCGTTTTTATAGAAGATACGGTTTTGAAATAAAGACATTATACAGGACCTTTTTACGTAGAATTTAATAATGTTGTTTATAATTTTTTTCAGTTATTTGTTTAGCCGTAATTAGATAAACATGTATTTTTTAAATGTGAATCATAGATGGCTATGACATTTTTAAAAAGGTTGTTTTTTTTCTTACCTAAAAAATATATACAGGGTGTTCGGTCCAAGTCGCGTCGGCTGATAACACCTAAACTTACTTCTTTTTTTCAAAAAATAAATATTTAATTAATAATATTCATTCTTGGCTTTCTTAATAAATGTATTAATTTTTTTTAGTACATCCGGTGTTGCCGGAAATGCTACCAAATTTAGTTTTTCAAATGGAACACCTATGTTTTTTTTCCCCCAAACAATAATAATTGACATGAAAAATACTGTAAACCACTATTTATTACATTTACACATAAACAATTAAGTTTAGGTGTTATCGGCCGGGGCGACTTGGACCGAACACCCTGTATTTGTAACAGAATATTATACAGAATAGCAAAAAAATGTCTTTAATTTTAAATTGCAGTTGACCATGAAAAAATGTTATATCTTCAACTAAAAGGATTTAAACTATATTATTTAACAAGTGTCACTAATGAAAGAGTTTTCTACATTATCTGAACAATGTAAAGGAAATACCACGATTGTTAGTTATTATTCGTAAAAAACATATTATTAAAAAAACACAACACTGCTCCCGGGAAAACAAATAAGACTGGATAAAATGATAAATCTTTCAGATGGATGATTCAATCCCGACGAACAAAAATGAGTCCCTTTGCCGGGTTTGTGGCGACAAAGCTTCAGGAAAACACTACGGAGTGGCCAGTTGCGACGGCTGTCGAGGCTTTTTCAAACGCAGCATACGACGGTATTCCATGTCAAACTCGTATCAAAACAAAAATAATAAAAACAGCATATCCCTCTCTAGCAACTTAGAATACGTGTGTAAAGAAAACGGCCGTTGCATCGTCGACGTCACCCGAAGAAATCAATGTCAAGCGTGTCGCTTCAAAAAGTGTCTTCAAGTCAACATGAAAAGAGACGGTATATAATCTATTTTCTTTCATTTTCTCTCTTCTATTATGAAAATTATCATTGACGTTATATCGAGCTATCGTGATAAAGAGGAAAACGCGGCATTTAGATAGTAATTAACTGAATTGTGGCCCATAAACCCCCGACCATTCGAACGCCAAAGCCAGAAGTCAGGGTATAAAATATTCAACAACTCCCTTGTGTAATCATCATTACCGGGGGTTCCACAAGCCCAACGCCAACCATGACATGACAATAGGACAACGTGTTTGGTTACAAAGTGCAGGTGCTTTTTCCCATGCCATCACAACCCCATTTGGCTCGTTTTTTAACCAAACTTCAAATTATGCGCCTGTAATAAATCCATCACACGTKGCACAAAAAATTCATCAACTATTAATGGTTGTCAGAAATATCGTCTTACCCAATCAGATATTAAATTACAAAGCGATTTAATTAGGGAACGTCAAATCTTGCGACAAGGACAATATTTATTTCACCTTGCTATTCTCACACTCACTTAACACTCTAACTATTAATAATTGCTTCCTCTATTCAAAGTCGCCCTCGTATTAAATAAACACTAAAAAACTTGCAGCAGTGCAGCATGAAAGAGCGCCACGATCTACGCAGTCAGGTCTTCATCAGTACCCTCTTAGTTTCGGAAGTCGATTGAGAAGTCTGCATACTTCTGTTTTCTCAACACTGCCTCTACATACACCGGTTCTGGATGCACCCTCAACAATCCCTGGACATTACCTTCATCAAAATTATTTCTATCCAGGGATGCTGGGGTCATTCCCGAAACCTTCCGGTCTAGTTCCTGGACCTCTCGGTTTGTCACAATTTTCTCATTTACTCTCTTTTTATCACAAACWTTTCAGCATTCTATAACAAACCAACACCTCATCCATCGATGATTAATCTATCGTCTCGAACTAGTRTAAAAGATGACGAAGTGACCAGTTCGGAAGAAGCAAAAGAACGGGAAAAAAGTATWCCTGAAGAAAACGTAGACGACAATAAAACCAACCTAGAGTTACCTCTAATGACAGAACCTTGCAAACCAATTTTAAGACCTTTAGATATACCCTGTCTCAATCTATTCCCGGCAGAAAACGTCTACGAGTCTGCCGCAAAACTCCTATTTCTGMCAATAAAATGGGCAAAAAGCATCCCCTCATTCTTGCAATTATCCTATCGTGACCAATCAATTCTTCTTGAAGAAAGCTGGAGCGAGCTTTTTGTTCTAACCGCAGCACAATGGGCATTTCCCGTCGATGAATGTAAGTGGAATAAAATCAAAAAGCTGAAATAACATTTTTTCCAGCACTTTTAGTTAGCAATGCTATTGCTCCAACTTCTCGTCATGCAGCCCTTGAGGAAGATGCTCGTCGTTTGAGGGAAATTATCACAAGACTGACTCTTTTGAGAGTTGATCATACCGAACATGCATGTCTAAAAGCTTTGGTTTTGTTTAAATCGGAATGTCGAGGACTGTGTGAGCCGAGTCATGTCGAATTGTTGCAAGACCAAACACATGTCATGTTGCATGAATATTGTAATCAGCGGCAAAGCTCGCATAAAGGGAGGTTCGGAAAATTGCTACTTACTTTACCTGCTGTTCAAGCTGTTACGAGACGAGGGTTGGAAGAGTTAATTTTTCGGCAAACTGTCGGGGATGTGGCAATTGATAGGCTGTTGACGGATTTGGCAAAAGCGACACATTAATTTAAATTTTGAATCACTTGTAATTGTGTAAATTGAATAAATTATTATTGGAAAATTATTGTGTACCAGTTATTACATGTTATGGGAAGTCTGACATAAGAGAAAAAAATAAGTGTGGTTTTTGTCTTTCAAAATAATAGTGGAACTGTGTTTTTGTACAATATTATACGTTTTTGAAAACTTTTTTTTGTATACGCTCCCGAAAACAGCTGRTTTAGGGACTTATTTGAGTCCCTAAAGTGAGTCTTTTCCGGACTCAATAAAATAGTACGCAAAACGGTTATTTTAGGTACTCAGTCCCCAAAAACAGTTTTTGCGGACTAAAAAATAAAATTGGTTACTATGGTAACGAAATTTTTTTTAATTAGTAAGAGGTGTATGAATTCGTGTTTTAGGAGCTTTAACAAAAAATCTTGTAGCACCATGTACGCAAAAGGTTTTAGGTGACTCCTCTCATTAAAGACTCGACTCCTACGTCGCCTCGTCATTAATTAGGTACGATTCGTCCCCTAAAACCCTATTTTGCGTACTTGATACATAAATAGCTATTTGCATATATCTAGTTTTACTAATTTTAGACATTTTAAAATTTAATTCTGGAATGTGGGTAATCTTGAGAACAAGGGAAATTAGACGCATACAATAGCAATCTCAAATGAGTCAAATGCTTTTTTCTGTGTGGCCATAATGTGARGTGATTTTGTAGGTTATCAATATTTAATTACAATACAATACAATAGGTAATAATAATTATTTAAATAATTTAATTAAAATAATAATATTGGGGTAACACGGTTTAAGCAATAATACTTATTACATAATAAAGCTAATATAAAAGGCAAAAGTAGATTTAGATTTTCAAATCACACTTGTAATTTTGTAAATTCAATAAATTGACAAACTCGTGTTGTCACTTGGGTTGTCTTTTCTGATTAATAATAGTCTTAGTATTATGTTTCCGTAACACATGTAGGTATTTCCATACATCTAATTTTTAATTCTAGATGTTTCACTAATAAATAGCAACTAATATGTATGCATACATACGTATTTTATAATTTATTTTGGTGAACCTTGATTTAAAGAAAAACAAGGGAAATGGATGTACATATTTAATAATATAGGTAAAAACACGTAATATTCTTACCACGTGACACATAATTGCAAGAAAAAAACATTTGAATTTTGGATAAAATTTGGAAATGCATGCATGATTCCTGAGGTGCACCAAAGGAAAAATAGCATTTTTCTCCATTGGTGTATACAGYGTGTTCGGTCCAAGTCGCCCCYGCTGATAYCACCTAAACTTACTTCTTTTTTTAAAAAAGTAAATATTTAAGTAATAATATTCATTCTTGGCTTTCTTAATAAATGTATTAAGTTTTTTTAGCACATCCGGTCTTGCCGGAAATGCTACCAAATTTAGTTTTTCAAATGGAACACCTATGTTTTTTTCCTCCAAACAATAATAATTGACATGAAAAATACTGTAAACCACTATTTATTACATTTTGCGTAACACAATGCAATCAAAAAACATCTTAAATCTTAGAATTTCATAAGGAAATTGGTCGCGTAGCCTGATTTTGAATTTTAAAGGAAAAGTGTGCATAAAAAAATGCTTGGATACAGTTGAATTGTTGGTTTGGCAAATCTAATTTGTCAGTTTTTCTCTTATGGAAACTCTTGYATTTTRTTCGACTGATAACAGAACATTCAGATTTTTATTTTCTTGTTCTTCACAAAGAACCACAGGTTTTTTATTTTTGAGAAGCGAACCTATTCGTCTCAGTTGTTTTTCAATTCGACTAAATTTCCAACGATTTGGGTGAACTCTATTGGAGTATTTTTTCTCTATACTGTCTGTCAGCTTCCGTTCTATATTTATGGCACTTAAAAAACACTTCAAGCTGATCTACCAATTCGTCGTAATAATAATATAATATCATCCATTATTAAAGATTTCAATAAGATTTATTGACAAATTAGGTTTTGTCAAACTAACAATTAAACGGTATCTAAGCATATTGCTTTTTACATTAATACCTTGACAAGTAAAATCCGCCTACGTTGCAAAATTTGCAATAAAACTAAAAAAATTAAATTGTTTTCTGAGTGCATTATGTAAAGTAAAATGTAATAAATAGTGGTTTACCGTATTTTTCATGCCAATTATTATTGTTTCGAGCAAAAAAAACATAGGTGTTTCATTTTAAAAACTAAATTTGGTAGCATTTCCGGCTACACCGGATGTGCCAAAAAAAAATGATGCATTTACTTAGAAAGCGAGAAATGAATGGCATTATTTAAAAATGTAGTTTTTGAAAAAAAAAAGTAAGTTTAGGTGTTATCAGCCGGGGCGACTTGGACCGAACTGACTGTAAACTGACTTTAATTCTTTATAATTAGCATAAAATTAGCATGTTTGTTGATAATGAGCCTATAAATGAATGGGAATAATTTAGTAACTGGAACAAATAAATATTTGCTTACAATTTATGCTATTCCTGCCCTTCGGGAGAGACTTTTGACTTCTATCACGATTTTGATACATATAAGAAAAGTCCCCCCATTAAAAAACCGTTTTATATCGTATTTTTCCCTTTTGTAACTATACATCCATCTCCTATTTTTTTATTCTGAAAAAAGCAATACTAAAAACTAGAAAATTATTTATGCAAAATGCCTTTTTTATCTACTAAATGGTCTTTCTTATAACTTTAAAATTTCAGTAAGTTTGAAAAAGCTTAAAATTACTTTATTTTTGCACAAAATATATATTTTTTCTGTTATTGCAATTTACGTGCCACGTGGCACATACATAACTTGAAGCTTCGTTGATAATAAAAATAAATCAATTATAAGAAAATTACAACTTTTGAAATCACAGTAGTGGGGTAAAATGATTTAAGTCCGACGTGTTAGTTTTTAACAGTAATTCATCAAATATGATGTCTTTAAAATACATCATCGTCTTTACAGTTTGTCCATTATTTGTTTTTGCAAAAAAAGTAAACAAAAATTAAAATTAAATAAACAGTCATTTTATTTTATTTTTAGGTTGACATTCCTCCAGACCTACAAGAAGAAATTAATAGGTATTATGATACATGTTTCAAACCAATAGGTGTTACAACAGGTTTGCACAAAAAATATTTTCTGTTTTTATGCAAATAATTTTCTTTTAGATGACCTGAAAGCTTATAATGTAGGTGACAAAGACCCTAAAATAATGGTAAAACTGTTATAATTAGTTAATGTTTTGTTAAATGTTTTAGTGCTTCATGAGATGTGTTTTTATTGAAGGCAACTGGGTATGTTCTTGTTTTCTATTTTGATTAAAGGGCTAAAGGCRAGTTTACAAAACATTTAATTTTATTGCTGTCAAATTTTAATTGTCGATTAATTTATTAATRATTATATTTTAGATGGATGAAAACGAAAATTTACAATACGATTACATAAAAGACACAATTCATCATGCTATAAGGCACCTCACTCTGCCAGAATTGGAAAACTGTGGAAAGAAAGCAGGTATGTACCTACGTATTTTTTTAAACGAAAACTTTATTTAAAAAATGTGTTTAATAGAAACCGGAGACAAGTGTGAAAAATCATTGAATTTCTTTACTTGTATGAACAAAGCTGAACCAGAAGTAAGTTTCTTTTAGATGTATTTATCTACTACTATTTTACATATATTTTATTTTAGAACTGGGTTCTAGTTTAAAAAAATGGTATTTAAAAAATATAATGTTCTGTATCTGTAATTTGTGGTAATACAAATAATATAGAGTTGCTAGCAGCATACGAATATTGTTTTATTTAATACATTACGGGTATATTGACACCAAGTGGTAATATGTATATTAAAACAGTACAGGGTATTTCAAACAACTTTACGAGGCTTGCGCCTAGGTACGCACCCAAATATACAAAAGTCACAAAAACCTAGATACAAGAAATACACATTTAATTATTTAATTTTTGGAAACCCAAGGCAGTAGTTATCAAACTAATCACTGTTTCATTAATAGTCATAAACTGCAGTTTTTCAGAAACAATTATCATTTGAACAATCAAGAGACGGCATGAATATGGTTCTAGTTTATCTATCTTAATCACTAACTAACTAAAAACGTTGTAATTTTTGAAAAGGTGAACAAACTAGAGAAGATTATCCAATTTTTATTTATATATTTATTAATTTATTGGCAAAATTTTTGTCCCTTTACTAAATAATTGTAAAAAACATATACAAGATCATCAGTATCATTAAATAGGTGTAAAAAAATGTCAATGTCAAAAAATAAATGTCAGAGTTTTTTGACAGATAGAATTTTTTAAACATTTTTTTCATGTTCCTGATATCTTAGCTTACTTCTCTGGGGCGCGAGTTCTGGCGCTTCCTGTATATTAACCTATTTTAATAAAACATTCTCACACCATGAAAAAACTGAAAAAAAAAACTCTTGTTTTGTACTCAATGTTAAAGAGTGCTTTTATCAACTAATTTCAGTAGATACAGTAGGTAGTCTTTTATCGTCTAGTAAAATAAAGTAATTTTTATCTACCTACTGTTTATATTCTTTATTAATAACTTACACGCAAATACATGCTTAAACTAATAAAAAAAGAACTTTGTAGAAAAACCATCAATACCAGCGTGGAGATGTCCACCTTTTATATATTTTTTTTTAAATGTAAAAAAAAATATCCCAGGCACAAGAAATTTTGGTAGGTGAATACAAAATAAAACTAAATATTATTAAGATTGTTTATCTATTCGTGTAAAAAGTCCACTCATGACTTCTTTACTCGTAAACTTAACCTTTTCACTCGTAGATAACCAATTTCTTTATCGTCTTGTATAATAAATAACTATAAATTTTCTTGACATTTCCCGTTTTTTTTTTCTTTTGAATGCAGCTCGTAGCTGTACATTTGAAATTATTATTACTCCAATCAATCATACGTTTTCCTGCTGCCATTCATCTGATTACGTTTTTCCTAATGT